CCTATGTACGTACCTTTTCTTTCTTTCTTTCTATCTACCTATCCTTCCATTAATCCATCCATCCATCCATCATCCATCTATCTATCTATGTATCTATCTATCTATCTATCTATCTATCTATCTATCTACCTATGTATCTCTCTCTAATATCCCTATCTATCTATCTATCATCTACCTATCTATACATCTATCTAAAATCTATCTAAATCTGGCCTTCTATTATATATCTAGATATATGTATAGTCTTTTTGAAGCAGGGTCTCCCTGTAAGCTCCATCTGTCCTGGAACTTACTTTATAGACCAGGCTGGACTTATACTCACAGAGATTTGCCTGCCTCTACCTCCTAAGTGCTGGGACTACAGGTGTGCGCCACCACACCTGGCTCAATAATAAAATATTTTTTCAAAAAAGAATATAAATATGGGGCCGGAGAGATGACTCTGAAGTTATTAGCACTGACTATTCTTGCAGAAGACTCAGGTTCCAATCCCAACATCCATGTTGCAGCTAGCAACTCTCAGCAACTCCAGTTCCAGGGGATCTGACACCCTCTTCTGACATCTGTGGGCATTGCATGACATGGGTACACTTCCATGCATGCAGGCAAAACACGCATACACATAACATAAAAATAACAAAGCATTTTCTTTTTTTTTTTTTAAGTGTTTTTGAGACAGGGTCTCCCTGTTGCCCCAGGTGGCCTGGAACTTATTATGTAGAGCAGGCTGGCCCCGAACTCACGGAGATCTCCCTGCCTCTGCCTCCTAAGTGCCAGGATTAAAGGTGTTTGCATGTTTTTCTGAAAAAGCATATAAATATGGCCAGGTGTGGTGGTGCACACCTTTTAATCCCTGTAGTTGGGATGCAGAGGTAGGTGGAGCCTGGTCCACATAGCAAGTTTCAAGTCAGCTGGGGTACAGGGAAAACCCTAGCTCAACCTTTTGAGCAATGAATTACAGGCAGGTGACCATGCTCCTCTCCCATCCCCGGCATTTATGTGGGTGCAGGTGTGGTGGTGCATGCCTCCTGTCAATCAGGATGCTGAGGCAGGAGGATGTTAGTTTGCTAGCTTAAGCTACCTGGCAAGAACCTGTTTGAAAAAGATAAAAGTTTAGTGGTGTGAATTCACACCAAATAGCATCCACATCCACATGTTCTTTGCAGATGTCTCATAATGCTTTATCCACTTTTATGTATGTGTGTATGTGTCTGCATGTGTGCTCACTGGTGTGTGGTGCCCCATGCCTGCATACAGGCAGAGCCAGACGAGGATGTCCAGGGTCCTCTTATGTCAGTCCACCTATTCCTCTGAGGCAGAGTCTCTCCCAGAGCCTGGGGCTACCTTTTCTCAGCTAGGCGGGAAGTCAGCTAGGCGGGAAGTCAGCGAGCTCCTGTGATCCTCCAGTGTCTGCCCTCCTCAGAGTTGGGGTTACAGGAGTTTGCAGGCTGCCCAGCTTATTAAGTGGGTGCTGGAATCTGAACTCTAGTCCTCATGAGCGTGCAAGAAGGCCTCTTCATACACTGAGCCATCTGTCTCCCCATAACCTTCATAACCTGTGGGGGCTGAGGGTGCGTGCATGGCTGCCCTCCCGCACGTGTGTTCAGGACCCTGAAACCCCCAAGCACATCTCACTGGAGCAGAGAAAGAGACCACAGCTTTCACTTCCTCCAGCCCAACGCTGTCAGAAAGTGGTGTAATCTTTTCTTGTCTCCTGCGTCCCAGACCAATTTTCTGTCAGCACATTCAGCCAGAGACGAGGCAGCACGGCTGGAGGAGCGCAGGGGCGTCATTGAGTTCCACGTGGTCGGCAATTCTCTGAACCAGAAACCAAACAAGAGGCTCCTGATGTGGCTGGTGGGCCTGCAGAACGTGTTCTCCCACCAGCTGCCCCGGATGCCGAAAGAGTACATCACCCGGCTCGTGTTTGACCCGTAAGTTCATCTCGCTCTGCCTTAGTTCCTTCTTTTACATAGCTAAACTCAGCCTTGGCAGCCTGAGGAGTCCTGCTGCTTCCTGTCAGCTGAGGAGCCATGTCAAGATGATTTCATGTCAAAAGCACAAAGGTTAGCTTGTCAACAACTTGCAAAGGTTCTTGTTAATAGTTATGAGGCTTTACAGTTTAAATTGCTGGGGCCGGCGAGATGGCTCAGGGTATAAAGGGCTCTTGCCACCCAGCCTGATGACTTGGGTTTGATCTAGAGACCCACTTGGTGGAAGGAGACTGACTTCTGCAAGTTGTCTTCTGACCTCCACATATGTGCCATGCCACCCCCACGACATAAATAAACGTAATAAAAAATTAACAATAAACTGTGGGCGACGCTCCTGTACCTCATTTATGGTGGCAGTAAGTGAGCAGGGACAAAGAGATGTCTTTCTTCACAGTCAATGCGTTCTTGGCTTCAGTGTCTAACCAGGTACCGTTGTGGCCCACATACCCATTGGTAGGGTTGTGCCAAAACTCTGTTGGCTATACCTGCGGTGTATGGGAGCTCTGTACAACCCAACAGGCAATGTGGTCTGTAAACAATGGCAAAATTATTAGGATTTAAGACAGGTCAGGAAATTCATTACTGTAAAAGGAAGGGGAAAAATGCAGAGTTGGGGATGTAGCTCAGTTTTAGTGGTGACCTGGCATGCACACAGCCCGAGGTTCAATCCCCAGTACTGCAAAAAGGAAAACAAAATCCACAAAAACTAATAATAAGCAATTGAAGTTCTCTGTTTGGCTGTGTTTCAGCCTGGATAGCCAAACTGCCCATGTGACCCAGGGTCCATGCACATGGCAGCTGGCAGTGAGAGGTGATGGTCTGGTAGGACATTCCACAGGACTGACAAGTCGCATGGTGGATTTTGTGTTTCTTTCTGCAAATTACTATGATGTTTCTGAGCATTCATAAACTCCAGAAATGCAAGGCCATGTTCAGCTATGGCTTTGAGCTCTCCCTCTGGCCGCCTCTGTGGCTCATGGGATTGGATGGGATTGGGTGTAGCAGCTCCATAGCCCCTCGGTGTGTACTCTTTCAGGAATCCTTGCTTTGTTCTGGAGAAAACGTCGATGAGGTCAGGCTGGCGCTGAAGGGTTCCAGGAAATGGCTGGCCTGCTGAGCTTGTGTCTAGATGGACGATTTTTCCACAGAAGCTCAGCTCTCCTTTGTTAACAAGCAACATCTCAACAAGTCTTTTTCTATAAAACCAAGGAAGGTAAAAGTTTGATGTAACCCTGCTCTCTTTCAGGAAACACAAAACTCTTGCTTTAATTAAAGATGGCCGTGTCATTGGTGGGATCTGTTTCCGGATGTTTCCATCGCAGGGATTCACAGAGATCGTTTTCTGTGCCGTAACCTCAAATGAACAAGTCAAGGTAAGGGAAACCCAAGATCTTAGGAGCAAAGCAGAGGGTGGGGCTGCTCATTGATGGGTGGGGTACGGGAAGGTCTCACTGGGCTGTGACCAGAGGGGGCTCCAAGTGGAGTTCAGGCTCCCTTAGAATTCCCTCACTACTGCTGCGTGTGAGGGACAGTAAATTCACCCAGGCCCCTCAGGAGGGCTGCACCACGGCTTTGATGGACCTTTAGGCAGAGTGTTGGATTGCTGCATAACCCTGTATCCTGCATCCTAGTTAGTAGCACAGGGAAGTTTGAAAGTAAATATGTTTTGTTATTAATTTACATAGAATAAACAGACAGATACACAGATGATCTGGCCAGCTTACACTTTAGAAAGATTCTTATGACCTTGTCCATGAAGACGAACAAGGATTGAAGAAATTCCAGAGGAGAAGTTATGGCAAATTTCAATTAAAAAATGTGAACAAAATGTTTATGTGGGTTTGGTTCAGGGGATTAGTTTTTAAAGTATGTGGATGGGAGACTGAACCCAGAGCCTTATGCATGGTAAGCAAGCACTCCAGCTATAGCCCTAGTTGTTTGGACTGTGCTGGGTCCCCCTCATCCATGTTGTCTTTGGCATAGATCCTCCCTGGGGACTCTGGCTGTGCTTTTTTAGGATTGCTTTGGTTTGGCTGGAAAAGCCTAGATGAACTGAGCAGACAGAGCTCGTCCCTAGACTTTCACATTCCAGTCTGTTGCTCACAAGAAAACTGTTCCAGTCTTAAAAGATTATGCTTTTGGCATCTAGGGAGCGATAAAGAGTGTCATGACAAACCTTTATGGGTGGTGGAACCGTACGCCACTCAGGAGTTAACGGCTACTGCAAGCACTTTTTGGAAGGTCTGAGGTAGTTGTTCAAGAGGATTATATTGCAGCCTGTACATAAGAGCCACGTATGGACACTGTCAAACTACCTAATAGAAATATTTCAAAAACAGTAAGTGAAAATGGAGATTAAGTTTTCAAGTGTATCTCATTTCACTTGAGGTGGCCTGTCATGAGGAATCACCCAGAGCATTTGTGTTGTGCTGAGGCTTGAAAGCAGTGTGCGGTTGACCGTCCCCGCTGTCTCAGTGGACTGGCCACATTTAGGTGCTCGGGGGTGCACAAGGCCAGTGGCTTCTATATGAGGCAATGCAGATCTAAGGGCACTGCCGGGCCTTTGGTTTCAAAGATGTACTGTCATTTGTGGAAACCAGAAATGAGGTCCTGGATGGAAGAACCATTTTCTGTGTGAAGGCCAGCTCTGGATACTTCTGCACTTTGGCCTCCCTCCCTCCCTCCCTCCCCCCCCCCCTCCCCCCCCTTTTTTTTTCTTTTTTCTTTTTCTTCTTTTCTTTTCCTGAGACAGAGTCTCATGTAGCTGAGGCTGCCTCACATTCACCATATAGCCGAAGATGATCTTGAACTCTTGATCCTCCTATAGGGATTACAGGCACATACCACTGCTCCTAGCCCTGTTTTTGCCTTTTGTGTTGAGGCACAGTCTTACTTTGTAGACCAGGCTGGCCTCAGACACACAGAGAGAGATCTGCCTGCTTCTGCCTCCCAGGTGCTGGCACTAAAGGTGAACGCCACCACACCCAGCTGCTTTTTTTCTTTTTTAAGGTAGGGTCTCAGTATGTCGGTAGCCTCTGTCTGGGCTGGAATTTGCTATGTATTCCTGGAACTCACAGAGATATGCCTGCCTCTGCAGCGTAAATGCTGGGATTAAAGGCAGGAACCACCATACCCATACCAGGCATAGTTTTTTGATTTGGGGGTTTCTTTTGGTATTTTCTTTGTTTTTTCTTTTTGGAGACAGGGTCTCCCTGTAGCCTTAGCTGGCCTGGAACTCTCTATGCAGACCAGGCTGGCCTTGAACTCACGGAGATCTGCCTGCCTCTGCCTCCCGCGTGTTGGGATTAAAGACGTGTGCCACCATGCCCAGCATCTCTAGTGCTGTTTCAAGGAGTTCTTTCACTGTGCCTTTAGGCAGTGCTATATTTTAGAAGTGTCCAGATATCCGGATAGTTCCAAAAATGTCCAGAATGATGAGGTCCTTACTTAAAGGAAAGTTTTGTTTGACTGCACGTAGAAAGAAGACTTGGAAAATGGGCCTTGACATTTAATTTTTATGTAATCTTTTGCTTTGCAAGATAGCTACACCACACACTTTGTTTGGAAAGGTTGATTAAGGTGCCCCTGGACACCTTAGACAGAACAGAAGGAAATTGAAGGTATTTAGTATGAACGGGAAACTTTGTCTTACAGCTTCCAGGAAAGGCATTTCTCCCCTGACAAACCGTGTAATTAAGACTTGAAGGAAGGTGGCCAAACAGCACAAACTCAGTAGGAAGCACTAGGAAAGAAAAAATCATTTCTTGTGACTTAAAAGGGTCACTTCAGAAAATGAATTTTCTGGGTGTGGTAAAGGCCGGCCAGGGCTACATAGTGAGACTCTGACTCAAAAACCAGCCAACCAAACAAGTAAACAAAGCGTACAAAAACAGAGCGAGGGGAGGGGGAGAGAGAGAGAGAGAGAGAGAGAGAGAGAGAGGAGAGAAGAGGAGAAGAGAAGAGAAGGGGAAGATGGAGATTTGTCATTCACAGCTGAATAGAGTGTATGAATTGGTAGAAGTCATATGTATGCATATAAGCACACACATGCACACATATGTTGAATGGGAAAAAGTTCTTTCATTATTTTTCGCTGTTCCATATCCTTAGTTAATGATTTATATATATTTTAGAGAGTCTCTCACTCTTGATTGGACATTACTATGTAGCCTGCATGGGCCTTGGAAAACCCTCCTGCCTCAGCCTTCTCAGTGCGAGAGTTACAGGTGGGCACCAGAACACCCAGCCTGTTTCCATATACAAACCATTCGTTTATTCAGCATCGTCCCCTATTTTTGTTTCCAGTGTTTTCTGGGTTTCCCAGGCCTTTCTTTGGCAAAGTCTGATAAAGTCAAGTCTGAAGGCCTGCTCTGTGATAGGGCTCTTAGAGAGCTGCTCATGCGTGGAACACAGTAAACACTCAGACCAGTCAGTAGGCTAGAGAACAGAGGACAGTTCATTTACATGCCTCAAATATGCTAATAAGGGTCAGCAGTGTTCATTTACATACCTCCTCTCAGCTCAGCTTCTGAAACACTTCAAAGTTTACACAGGATCAGCATTTACTCCAAAAGCTTTTATGTAATTTCAGCAAGGAGCCTGTAAAGTTGCTATGCCATTTTCAAAGCACCAGGAATTTGTATTTGCTAGTGATGATTTTTATATCGAAGCAAGGATTTTGAATGTTTTGGTTTTGTGATTCCTTTTCAAAGTTCAGACATGTAAGAAAGGTTTGTTAATATTCTAGTTCCTTGAAGAAAGACCCTGGTTGGTAAATACATAAAACCACCAACTCCTAAATATGCTACATTTTCTGTCACATTTGTCGGAGTTTTTTTTTTTCTCCAGAAGTTAATCTGTCCATCTCTGTCTTAACTCCCACCAAGGGCTATGGAACACACCTAATGAATCATCTGAAAGAATATCACATCAAGCACAACATCCTGAATTTCCTCACCTATGCGGATGAGTATGCCATTGGGTACTTCAAGAAGCAGGTTAGTGTAGTGTGCCCTGTTACCCCCCCTCCCATCCCATTCCCCCCAGCCCTGCACTGTGTGTGTGTGTGTGTGTGTGTGTGTGTGTGTGTGTGTGTGTTGAGTATGCCATTGGGTACTTTAAGAAGCAGGTTGGTGTAGTGTGTCCTGTTACCCTCCTCCCATCCCATTCCCCCCAGCCCTGCACCGTGTGTGTGTGTGTGTGTGTGTGTGTGTGTGTGTGTGTGTGTGCGCGTGCGCACCCCATGCTCATTTGAAGGCCAAAACAGGACACTGCTTTCCTCCGTTGCTGTCCACTTTGTTATCATGAGGCAATCTCTCACTGAACCTGAAGCTGTCTTTGGCTAGGCTCCCAGGTCCGCCTAGCTCTCACTCCCCTGGGGTTATAGGCATTTGAGGCCATGCCTGGCTTTTACATAGGTGCTGGGGGTTCAAACTCAGATCCTTCTGCTTGCACAGTAAATGCTCTTACCCTCTGAGCCATCTCACCAGCATGTGGTCATTTTCTTTAAATGCATTTGTCTCAAAAGAAGAGATTTCATTTCTTCAATAGCAAGTTGCTACTTGCTGCGTTTTTTGAGAATTGATCAATGTTGGTTATTGATTTATTAAGGATCCTAGGGAAATCTCCCCAACCTCACTGCTTTAGGGAGAAGAGTATATCAGTGATGTTTATTATTCAAAGTTGAACCTTTATTTATTATTTATTTTGGAGATAAGGTCTTTCTCTATACACAGCCCAGTCTGGCCTGAACCCTGTGACCCTCGTACCTCTGCCTCCTCAGTGCTGAGATCACAGGCACATGCCACCGTGCTCAGCCTAATTTACTTATTACCTGTTATTTATTTTTTGGTCTTTTTGAGACAGGGTTTCCCTGTAGCCCGAGCTGGCCTGGAACTCACTATGTAGACCAGGCTGGCCGTGAGCTCGCAGAGATCCGCCTGCCTCTGCCTCCCAAGTGCTGGGACTATGTGTGCCACCAGGCCGGGCACCTGTTACCATTTTAAACTTGTGAATTTGTACGATTTGGAGGCTGCAGAGATGGCTCAGCAGTTAAGAGCACTTGCTGCTCTTGCAGAGGACCCAGGTTCAGTTCCCAGTACCTACATGGTGTCTAACAACCATCCTTAACTCCAGTTCCAGGGGATCCGACACCCTCTTCTGACCCCCATGGGGCACTGCACAACATGCAGGCAGTATACTCATACACATTAAAAGAAATAAAAATAAAAAATTGTGGGATTTTGTTGGATTTTCCTGCTGTAGGGCAGGAACATAGGGCCTTGAACATGTCAGTCAAGCACTCCCACTGAGGCACGTCCTCATCTAAATTTGTGTGTGACTAGTGCTATTTGAAAAATATCATTTGCTTCCTATTGGCACTGTTTGATTTCTGATGGTTTTGCACATCATGGGTGACTCTCTTCGGATGCTGTTCAGAATAGTAGAGTGAGGCCAGTGCAGTGAGGTGGGAAAGATACCCATCTGAATCCCCTACGCTGTACTTGCCAGAGCTGGCTCTCGGTAGCAGTGTGATCACAGGGTTTTGATGAATGAACCAATTTGCTCCATAGGGTTTCTCCAAAGAAATTAAAATACCCAAAACCAAATATGTTGGCTACATCAAGGATTATGAAGGAGCGACCTTAATGGGATGTGAGCTAAACCCTCGGATTCCCTACACGGAGTTCTCCGTCATCATTAAGAAGCAGAAGGAGGTGAAACTTTCCCTTCTTGTTTGCTGGGTGGGCCTTGGGGTGGGCTGCATTTCACAGTCTGGCTGTGTGTTTGGGGGAGGGACTTGCCCAGTGGATGTCACTAAGTCACCATCCTGACTGCGTCAGAGTTTGTTAGATTGCTGCAAAATACAAAATGTGTACAGTACAGTGACATTTTGATGTCACAGCTCATGGCCTTTTGTGTTCTGGACCCCTTTGCAATCTTATCTCATTACTTCCATCCTAAATGCACTCTCAGAGGGCACTGGTGAGGCTTCAGCCTCTAGATCTTCATCCATTACCCTGTCCCCTGTGTCCTGTCATCAGGCAGGTGACAGGCTTCCAGAGCCCCTCCCCACCCCCCTTTGAACTGGCTTGACTCACCCATTTGGATTGAATTATTTGTCTCACAAAGCATTTCTTTTGGCATTTATTAAGCTCTCCGTTTGCACTGCAAATTCTGAAGGCTTAGCCTTTGAAGTAATAAGTGGTTTGTTATCTGATATCCGCGTGGCATCTTTTATGCTGACAGAGGAGAAGTGGTAAGGGGAAGGCTCCTAGATCTGAGGCTACAGTAATTTAAAAGACAGAACGGCATAACGAAGAGTCCATAAAGGCCACTTAGGAAATGAGTGAGCTCTGTGGGAGAAGCCAGGACCAACACCCTGCTCCCTCAGCTCGCTGGGCTTGCTGGAGCTCTGAGCTGAGCCCTGGCAGCTTGCCGTGTCGCAGCTGCAGCAGCTCCAACCAGCATTCCTGTCACTCAGTCTGTCCTGCTCCTTCCTGACCAATCACAGCAGAAGACGTCTGCCTTTCTCCCAGTGCCCTTAATGCTAGTTCTTTTACTTACCAGATATGAGCCACCCAGTGGCCGGGACGCTCATGCTGTGCCCTGTGATAACAGGCTCTCGCTGAGTGTTTTATGTAAAGGGGGCAGACATGTTCATGTGCTGCTGCAGAAGTGAACAAAGGCATTTCATTTTAAGTTAGGAAATAAAAACTCTTTTGCCTGGTGGTCAAAGATGTCTATTAACTGGGAGTTCCAAGCAGGGCAATGAAGAGGCTCACACAGCAGGCACTTCTGGCCCTTCTCTCTGCAGAGCTGCGTTCCCTCAGTGTTTTCTGGGGCCCAAGGAGGCATTCTGGCCTCAGGGCTCTGGTCATACTGGCAGCTTGCCTGCCAAGCTGGCACTGTGCTGATCTTCCAAAACCCTCCCTGAGCCGTAACTGAGCACAGGAGTCCCCCGGCACAGTCTGCAGATTCCTACCAAGAACGATCTGCTTAGTCCTTCCTACCTAGGGGTGTTGTTGCTTTTTGTTTCTTGTTTATTTTTAGGGTCTCCCTAGTCCCAGCCTGCCTGAAAGTCACTATGTGGACCAGACTGGCCTAGATCTGGCCTAGATCTCACAGAGATCCACCTGCCCCTGTCCCACCACTGCCCGGTGCCAGAGCTATTTTAGATTACCAACTGCTTTTGTAAAGACAAGGCTGGTTCCTTACCTCCTCTTTTTGTCTCCCCTTGGCTCTATTCTCTATCCCTGTCAGTCACTGTCTCTCTGTCTCTGTGTCTGTTTCTCTCCCTCCCTCCTTCCCTCTCTCCTTCCCTCTCTCCTTCCTCCTCCCCTCCTCCCTCACTCTTTGCCTCTAGCCGTTTCTCACACATGTCATTGAATGGATAACTTTGGATCTGTTAACCTAGTTTTTTTTTTTTTTAATTTCATACACATAGACAATGTATCATGGTCCTATCCATTCCCCACTCCTTCTGTCCAGCCCCCACCAATGTATCTCTAAACTTCATGATGTCTGGACTGGAACTCAACTCAACCAGGCTGGCCTCCGAGTCACAGAGATCCACCTGCCTCTGCCTCCTATGTGCTGAGATTAAAGGCATGCACCAACAAGCAGCCCCCCCACCCCCCGTGCTTTAATAATCCACTAAATCCAGTTAGTGCAGCCCAGTCAATGTGCACATGTGTGGGGGGTTATCCACTCAGGTGTGGGCAACCTACCAATGCTCCCTGCCTCCAAGAAAAGTGTCTCCCTCCCTCAGTAGCCATCAGCCTCTATGAGCTCTCAACTAGGGGTGGGGCATCGGGAGCCCCTCCCACTTGACTCCATAGCTGCTGTGAGATCCTGTCTGTAGCCAGCCTTTCTCTGTACTCTTTCCATCTCCTCTTCTGTGATGTCCTTGAGGCTTGGGGGAGAGGTGATCATACAAATGTCCCATCTCTGGCTGAACTCTCATAGTTGCTTATTTTCAGTATTCTGAACTAGATTTTTTTTTTTAAAGAGACCTGGGGCTGGAGAGATACCCCAGCAGTGGTTAAGAGCGCTGACTACTCTTTTGGTCTTTTTGAGACAGGGTCTCCCTGTAGCCCCAGCTGTCCTGGAACTCACTATGTAGACCAGGCAGGTCTTGAACTCACAGAGATCCGCCGAGCACTGACTACTCTTCAGAGGATGTGCGTTCAGTTCCCAGAACCTACGTGATGGCTAACTACTGTCTGTAACTCCAGTTCCAGGGAATCTGATGCCCTCTTATGGCCTTCGCAGGCATTGCACAACACTGGTACTCTTACATACACGCAGGCAAATCATAAACACAAAAAGTAAAAGTAAATGAATTTGTAGACCAGGCAGGCCTTGAACTCACTATGTAGACCAGGCTGGCCTTGAACTCACTATGTAGACCAGGCTGGCCTTGAACTCACTATGTAGACCAGGCTGGCCTTGAACTCACTATGTAGACCAGGCTGGTCTTGAACTCACAGAGATCCGCCGAGCACTGACTACTCTTCAGAAGATGTGGGTTCAGTTCCCAGCACCCACGTGATGGCTAACTACTGTCTGTAACTCCAGTTCCAGGGAATCTGACGCCCTCTACGGCCTTCGCAGGCATTGCACAACACTGGTACTCTTACATACACGCAGGCAAATCATAAACACAAAAAGTAAAAGTAAATGAATTAAAAAAATCTGAAGTCACTGCAATAAAATACTATATTTAATTTTAAAAGTTTTTTGTTTTATGTATATTAGTGGTTTGCCTGCATGGATGTAAGTGCACACATGTCATTGAAATGCCTGCAGAGGTCAGAAGAGGGCATCAGATCCCCTGGAACTGGAGTTACAGATGGTTGTTAGTTGGTATGTGGATGCTGGGAACTGACCCCTTGGTCCTCATTAAGAACAGCCAGTGCTCTTAGCCACTGAGCCATCTTTCTAGCCCCAAAGTACTATATTTTTTTGTGCAGACAGGCTTGGTATCCCTTTTCCAAAAGACTTATGACCCAAAGTATTTCAGATTCTGAAAAAATTTTGAACTACTTCCATTGACCTAACTGATTGACGATCTTTAATGTGAAAATCCAAAATCCAAAATACTCCAAAACCCCAAACTCCACCTGTGAAAAACCCCTTGCGTAAGATAGGTTTTAATAATGACAGGAAACAGGCTGTGTTTATTGAGGACTTTCTTACCCATGAGTGCACAGGAGCACAGAATCAGGTGAAGGTGTCCACGTAGAAGTGGGGAAACGTGTCCGCAGCTGCACAGGTGGACCACATGCAGACTCATGTCCTGCATCTTAAGCACTGGCTCCTAAGGGAAAGCCTGTTGTCCTCCAAAACGGCCAGGCTGTGGTCTAGTGTGGCTCAGTGATAGAGAACTTGCCTACCGTGCCTAAGACCCTGAGAGAGAGAGAGAGAGAGAGAGAGAGAGAGAGAGAGAGAGAGAGACACGTCCTCGATATCAGACCCTGGGTTGTATCCCCAGCATCACGGGGCGGGGGGGAGGCGAGAGAGAGAGAGAGAGAGAGAGAGAGAGAGAGAGAGAGAGAGAGAGAGAGAGAGAGAGAGAGAGAGAGACAGACACGTCCTCGATATCAGTCCTGTCCAGAGTGGTAGCCGCAGCCCACACACTACTACCAAGAACCTGATGTATGACTACTCAAGACTGGGGCATGTGGTAAACAGACAACAGTGGTTTCTGAAGCCTCTGTTACAGATTAAAGAGTTTAAAGTTGTCTCCATTTCTTCCTTGACTATATTTATAACTATATTTTGGATAGTGTATTAAATAAGAAACATGATTAAAGTGTATTTCATCTGTTTCTTTTCACTTTTAAAAAATATTGCAGGCTGGAGAGAGAACTCAACATTTAAGAGCACTGGCTGCTCCTACAGAGGACCCAGCACCCAATCAGTGACACAGAATCTCCTTAACTCATTGGATATCCAATATCCAATGTCCTCTTGCCTCTGCTGGCATGGCACACACATGGTGCACTTATATACATATAGGCAAAACACTCATACACATAAAATAAAAATAAAAAATATGGCTTGGTAGGAAATTTGAATAATATGAATAGTTCACACTGTATTTCTTTGCAAAACTGTTCATTTATGTGTGTGCCTGTGTATGCGCACATGTATGTGGGTGCCCATGGAAGCCAGAAGAGGGTGTTGGAGCCCCTGGAGCTGGAGTTACAGGTGGTTGTGAGCTGCTGGGAACTGGACTCCTCTGATAGAGCCGTCTTAACCACCGGGCCACCTTTCTAGCCCCGAGTTGTGTTTCTTAGTGGGCAGCACTGACCTGGATTTACTGAGTGTGCCCTTCATCAGTTCCGCTCGCTTTGTGCTCTCTAACGGGACAGATTTTGTGTTCATGTTGTTGTGACTCCCAGACGTGTGTTTGAAATAAGGCAGTTAGGAACCTGACCTTTTTGCTGATGTTTTTGTTTTCAAAGGGAAATTCAGTCTCTTGGAATTAGCTACCTAAGTTACTTTAGGAATTATTTTACAAAGTAAACAAAATGCCACACTCATTGTTGGAATCAGCCCAGTGGCTTCTGTCAGTTACAGTGCTTAAGGGATCTCCCACTCTCTCCCCTCCCGTCCCTCCTTCCCCCCTCCTCTCCTTCCCTTCTCCCCCTCCCCTGCCCTCCGCTCCTCTCTCCTCCCCTCTTTGTTTCAATGCAGACAGCATAAGTTGTGTCCAGCCTTTGAGAGGCATTTTATTTATATATATTTTTTATTATATATTATTTATTTTTTTTTGTCTTTTTGAGACAGAGCCTCCCTATAGCCCCAGATGACCTCGAACTCATAGAGATCCACCTGCCCCTGCCTCCCAAGTGCTGGGATTAAGGCATCTGCCACCACACCTGGCCCTTATTTACTGTTTTTATTTTATGTATATGAGTGTGTTACCTGCATGTATGTAAGTGCACCTGTGTCGTTATTATTTATTTTTTTTTGTCTTTTTGAGACAGAGCCTCCCTATAGCCCCAGATGACCTCGAACTCATAGAGATCCACCTGCCCCTGCCTCCCAAGTGCTGGGATTAAGGCATCTGCCACCACACCTGGCCCTTATTTACTGTTTTTATTTTATGTATATGAGTGTGTTACCTGCATGTATGTAAGTGCACCTGTGTCGTGCAATGCCCACAGAGATCAGAAGAGGGTGTCAGACTCCCCCGGAACTGGAGTTAAAATGGTTGCTAGCCGCCACGTGGGTGCGACATCATCTCCTTCGTTTATCTGGCTTGCCCCAGAGCACGGCGTGGCTTCTTTGACTAAACGCACTTTCTCTCTGTGCTTTTCAGATAATTAAAAAACTGATAGAAAGAAGACAAGCCCAGATTCGAAAAGTGTACCCTGGGCTTTCGTGTTTCAGAGATGGAGTTCGACAGATTCCTCTAGAAAGCATTCCTGGAATTAGTATGTATAGACCTTTTTAAAAGCAAAATCTTCTGGTAATCCCATGTGGCACTTGAAACCATTTCTAGAGTAAAGCTTTTGCCTTTCCTGTCTGTTCATGGTATTTTTGGTCTTGGAAGGAGACAGCAAGTTAGATGTGGCGGCACATGCCTGTGATCCCGTCCCTTCCGAGGCAAAGGCAGGAGGGTGCTGAGGCCTGCAGTGGAGTGAGACACTGTGGTGGGAGGGCAGTCATGAAGACTTGCTGTTGAATGCCTTTTTTCCTCCTCCGAACCCAAACCAAAGAGAGGACCTTTGTAATTTTTATTGTTAACAGATATCAGTATCCATAATTTATTAGGCCTGGTCTCTGTGCACAGTGCTGGGCGCTAGGAATATGTATTACTAGCATGAAAAATAGCAGGTTTTTATATTTACACATGGATGATTGGGTCCTGGTTATATCAGTTGGCATGCAGAAGATGACAGGTCAGAATTAGAAGCTGTCCACGTCCTGCCACCGACAGGCGTGACCTGCAGAAACTGTGCCCGACGCCCTTAGTCCAGTGTGTGGTGGAGAGTCACATCATTTATTTGAATCTTGTTTACAGTAGCTTTCCTGAGCATTCTTTTTATACACTAGACAAGCTGTATTGGATTTAAACCATACAAAATGGATGGTATCGAGTATCATTTGGCGATTTTATAAAGTCTGAACCCAAGGTCTTTTTCATTTGGTTGGTTGGTTGGTCTTTTTGAGACAGGGTCTCCCTGTAGCCCCAACTGGCCTGAACTCAGTGTAGACTGGGCTTAAAGATTCAATTAAAAAAAATCAAGCAAACTAACATTCTCTAGAAGAAAGACAGGCTGCTTCGTAGTGTCCGCCTGTTGCCTGAGTCCTGGGCTCCATGCCGCTGCGTTCCCGCCGTTAGCGGGGCATAGTTGCCCCGTTGCTGAAAGCCGACTAGTGCCAAGCATTCTTTTGCTTTTATTTTCAATTTATTTTTCCCCCTTATGTTTAGCTACTTGGACTTATTTTTCTTTTTAATATCAACTAATGCTATGAGGGCTAACATGACCAGTTCAGATACTTTCTATAGTGCTGCTTTATAGATGGCTGAACTGGAGGGAGACGTGAAGTGACTTATGGGTAGGCCAGCTTTTATGGAGAGGAGAGGAAATCGGATCCTTCAGACTCAGATCTGTGTAAACAATCGGCATTGCATGCAGGGTCTTGGCCAAATGAAACAGAGACCAGAACACTGCTCTTCGGAGATAAAATAACAGAAAATCGTAGCTTCTCATTGTCCTGGTGCTTAGCAGTAATTCAACCTCCATTAAAAAAATACAGTGCTGGATTTTCTTCTTTTTTTCTGAATTCTCCTGAAGGGTTGGTGTTCCTGCTTTAACAAACACTAATCAGCTGGATAGAGCACTTACCTCAGTGTTAATGTGAGGTCCTGGGTTCAGTTCCCAGCACCACAGACAAAGGAACAGACAAACAGACCCTAAAACGTGTCAGTCAGAGAGAGTTTTGTGTTGTAAGCTGTGTGAGAAAGCAAACAGATGCCACGAGTTTCATTATGGTTTCCTCAAATAGGTGTTTATTAAGAGACGGCTGTCATTTGTGATGCTTTTGATAAGTATTAAGTATGTTACTCTTTTGACCCAAAGCAGTTCTCATTTAGTGTTTAATTTTGTTGACATATAGGAGAGACGGGCTGGAAGCCGAGTGGAAAAGACAAAAGGTAAGTGAGGTGGGCTAGGTGGCCTGGGAGTGGCCCCTTCCAGCGCTGAGAGGAAAAGGGCCAAAGGACGGAAGGAAGAGCACCTCAGCTGGTGGGCGTCAGTGTTCCTCAGTCCTAGACTGGCTCCACGTTCAGAGTTTTGTAAGACCGAGCTAAGCAGTCACGAGGCCAAGAGGGCGGACGCTAACCCTTGCTCCTCTTTCTCTGTTCTTTTCAAGTAAAGACCCCAGAGACCCCGAGCAGCTCTACAACACCCTCAAGAGCATCCTGCAGCAGGTGAAGGTGAGTCTTCTTTGTCCTCACCTCTCGCTTCTGTTCTGAAATGATTTCCATGTGGCATTTCCGTGTGAGATACCTGTCTTTTTTTTTCTCCACTCAAGAGTCATCAAAGCGCTTGGCCCTTCATGGAACCCGTGAAGAGAACAGAAGCTCCGGGGTACTATGAAGTTATAAGGTTCCCCATGGGTAATGCCATCACACTTCTGAGTATACATTTAAAACTCTTGATGGTGGGTGGTGTGGGGGTCGGATGGTGGCTGAGGTGGACTTGTCCTTCTCCATGGCAGGGTAGGGGTGTGTGATGGGGGTCCACGCTCTGTGGAAGGGCTGTGGCTTCTCATCAGGGCCTTTCTGTACATGTTGGACCTGAGTTGCAGGGTACAGGTGGACACCTGAGCTGTAGGTGGCTCTGCGTGTGCAAACTGACTTCCTGGACACAGGGTGCTATGTGTAGTCTACCCACTGGGCTGCAGATGGAAAAATGCCAGGTTTTATCCTTCTCATGTGGTTTGAGTCTGTTTTTCATGATTATTATTTTTTAAAGTTTTTCATGGTAGCAGGAACCAAGGTGCAGTAAGCCGCTGGAGCGCTCGCTGCACGTTCAGAGGGAAGAACTCTAGTTAATGAAGTTAACTATAGAACACATAACTATGTATATGTCTTTTTAAGAAAGCATTTTAAAAAATATTTTATCATTTTTATTTTATGTGTATGCGTGTTTTGCCTGCATGTAGGTAAGCTCACCTGTGTCATGCACTGTCCTCAGAGGACAGACGAGGCTGTTGGATCCCCTGGAACTGGAGTTATGGACAGTTGTTAGCTGCCATGTGGGTGCTGGGATCCGAACCTGGGTCTTCTGCAAGAACAGTCATGTTCTTAACTGCTGAGCCATCTCTCCAGCCCTCCCCCCCTTTTTTTAATGTGAGTGGAAGGGGTGGGGGCCCATCAAGGCGCATGTGTGAGGTCAGAGGACAATTTTGTGGCGTTACTTCTCTCTTTCTGACTTTATTTAGATCCCAGGGATCTTGGCAATGTGCCTGTGACAACCAGCTGAAACCAGAGCCAGAGCCTAGTCTCTTTCCTCCTTGGGATCTGTTCTAAGTGCCAGATGGGAAAGGAAGAATGGAGGGAGGCCCACTGGCTCCTCGGGGACTGAGTGACTTACAGATGTTCCCGTGGCAATCAGTGCCGCACCACGTCATGTGTAATTGTTGGAAGGTTTCAGTAGCATTTCTTTTCTTTCTCACATTCTAAAATCTCTTTTCTTATATGGACAGAGTTTAACGTGTCTCACTTAAGGAGATATTCAGTGGACATTGAATAGTCTGAGCTGAGTATGAGTTCCCTACCCATGGATTTCTAGGCACAGTTACCTGCTTACCTACAGTTCCCAGGTTGGGACAGGGAGGGAGGGAAAAGAAAAATAGAATCATTTAATGATGTTTCCATAGGTCTTTTTTTTCCCTTGTGAGACAGGGTCTCCCTGTAGCCCCAGCTGCCCTAGAACTCACTATGTAGACCAGGCTGGCCTCGAATTCACAGAGATCCGCCTGCCTCTGCCTCCTGAATACTGGGATTAAAGACGTGCATTTCCATGCCTGGCTGGTTCTTTCTTTTAGTCATTTTTATTTATTTTGTGTGCAGGTATGTGCATGTATTTGGGTGTGTGGGTGCCGTGGCACATGTGTAGAGGTCAGAGGTCAACTGGCTGTCGGTGGCTCTCTTCTTCCATCATGTGGAGTCTGGGTATTGAGCTCAGGTCTATCAGTATTGGTGGAAGCCACCTTTACTGACTGAGCCATCTGCCACCTCTCCATGTTTCTTTTTAACCCATTCATTTGGTCAATTGAAAGAATCTAAGCTAGCCGAGGAGAGAGGCCATCTGGTGCTTTAGGAGACGGAGGATGTCTGGGAATGAAGTATTTGGAAATGGCTGTAGTTACTCTGGAAGGCCCGACTGCCTCTAATTCCAGCTTTGTCTCTGCTAGCTACATTTTGGGCCCTTTACATTTTATTTTAGCACTCCTTAAAAAAAAAAAGAGCTTGAAGAGCTTTTGTACTAATATTTCTTTTTCTTTTTTTTTTTTGAGACAGTGTCTCATTATACAGCACTGGCTGACCTGAAACTCGCTATATAGACCAGGCTGGCCACGAACTCAAAGAGAGCCACTTGCCTCTGCTTCTCAAGTGCTGGGATTAAGGCATGCACCATCAGGCAGGCATGACTTGGATTTAAGATTTTGATGCAAATGAATTTGTCCTCATTTGGGGGTGGGGGATGTTGTATATAAATTTACTTATTAAGAGGTAATGCTGGTGTTATTTGGTTATAAACTTTCCCCCTCTGGAAAGCCCATACAATTGCACTTTTTAAGTGATTGAACCAGCCCGAAAGACTGGGTCTGGCAACCATGCAAATGTCAGCATCTTACCACCTGCGTGAAATTCTTCTTGTTTGGCTTTTTTTTTTTGGTTGTTGTTTTTTGGTTTTGTTTTGTTTTGTTTTGTTTTGTTTTGTTTTGAGACAAGGTCTCACTGTGGGCCTGCAGACTAGACTGACTTCAAACTCACAGAGATCTGCCTGCCTCTGCCTCCAGAGTGCTGGGATTAAAGGTGTTAGCCGAGATTAAAGGTGTGGGCTGCCAAGCCCAGCAGCACTGCACAATGTTCTTTAATTTAGTTCTAAGTTAGGACTGAGGAAGCCACCACGGTGTCTTTTCTTTCTTTTGGGGGTAGGTGGGTGGTCATTTTGGAGACGGGTTATCACTGTAGTCCCATCTTACTTGGGATTCGCTATGTAGACCAGACTAGCCTGGATCTCACAGAGATCTGCCTGCCTCTGCCTTCAGAGTGCTGCAGTTAAAGGTGCGGGAGCATCACCAGGATTGGCTCCCCATAGTGTAGTACAGATGGAGCACTGTTTTCTCTTGTGGAATAATACAATTTGAAGCAAGATATATTGGGAAAACATATTTTACAAGTTATACAAGGCTTATTAAGGATTTTTTTAATCTTTATTTTAAAATTATATGTACATGTGTGTGTGTGAGTGTGGGCTTGTGCATGTGAGTGCAGTGTCTTCAGAGACCAGAGAGGGTGTTGGATCCTCCTGGGGCTGGAGTTAGAGGCAGTTGTAAGCCATCCCATTTGGATGCTGGGAACCTAACTTGGGTCCTCAGGAAGAGCAGCAAGTGCTCTTAACCACTGAGCCATCTCTCCAGTTCTTAGGCTTATGAATTTTAGGGGAAAAAAAGATTATTCAGTAAAGTTGGTCATGTTGAGTTCATTGATGGAGCCTGGAACAAAATTCATTTATTGTTTACTATTTTACGTGTAGGTCACTGACGTACTTGAAGATGCATTAATATCTGATTCTCTCTGTGTATCACCAAAAGAACCGTGAATTTAGTAAAACGAGCTCAGCCTGATTGTTTTCAGTGATTAATACGTTCAGTGCTCCACCTGCTCTGTGTCTTCCGGGTTCCACTGAAATCCGAGCACACAGCACTCTGCCAAGCTGATCTCCTAAGCCTCCTTGTGTGGTAGACATGAGAACAGAAGACTAGTCATGGTCCTTTTAATGTTAGCATGGCTGTGATGCTATGTAAAATCCTTGAAGATTTAAGAACTGTTTTCTTCGGGGCTGGAGAGATGGCTCGGTGGTTAAGAACACTGATTGCTCTTGCAGAGGACCTGCGTTCGATTCCCAGCACCCACATGGCAGCTACGAACCGTCCTTAACTCCAGTTCCAGGGGAATCCGAAGCCCTCTTCTGACCTCCTCAGCATTGCACGACACGGGTGCACTCACATGCAGGCAATACACTCGTACACATAAAAATTAAAAAAAAAAAAAACCCAAAAGAACTGTTTTCTTCAATCCAAGAATTTCTCTTAACCAATGGCCTTGGGGTGATTAAAAAACAAAGTAATCAAATCAATGGCATGGATTTCTTTCTCTGTGTCGCCCTGCTAGGGAGGAGTCAGAGCTTGCTAATGTTTTTGTTTCCTGTGCAGATCTGAAAACCATGAGTGAACGCCTCAAGAATAGGTACTACGTGTCTAAGAAGTTATTCATGGCAGACTTACAGCGAGTGTTCACTAACTGTAAGGAGTTCAATCCCCCGGAGAGCGAGTACTACAGATGCGCCAGCATCCTGGAGAAGTTCTTCTTCAGCAAAATTAAGGAAGCCGGGTTAATTGACAAATGATTTCTACTCCCTCTGCTCCTTAGAAGTTCATGAGCAGTGTGCCTCAAACCAGGTGGTTTAGTGTTTTTGTTTGCTAAAGAATTGGACATAATTTGTTGAAGAGACTTGTAATAATTAGCACTTTTGAAAAACAAACAAGCAAAACCTCCTTTTAGCTTTTCATATATGTATTTAAATGGAAGTCATTGAATATTTTTTATTTTGTGGAATAGATTTTAACCAGGTTACTACTATCATGTAAATTTTCTCTGGCATGTCCAGTAGCTGACTATTGCACCGTGGATGATCAGGGGCTTCCTCAAAACCTGTACGGGAGGAAATTGCACACAGTACCAAGATTTGGGAGGAAATCTAGATAAATTTCAGACCATGAATGTTTCCATTTTTTGTGAGTGGAATGTGAGAGTTTTATTTTATTCTGAAGGATTTTAAGGAAGGAATACATGATAGGCCTGTACAAGGTGAGACGTGATGTTTGAAGTCTCGATGTAGACTTTATATAAATACATATATATTTTTAAAACACTCATCTGGATGAGGTGCTTTGAGCAGTTCTGAAAAATGCAGTTTCCACAGCAGCAACTGCTTTGTCTCCTAAGGGTTTCCAAACAGTGCAGACTTTTATGAGCATCTGAGGTTTTGATAATTCCGTCTACCTACCACAGACTCGTGAGGGCACAACCACTGTTTTAATAATCCTTGACAGAAATGTGTCGATCTCGTATTAGACTTCTCTTCTGCTGGCCGTAAGTTCCAAAAGATCATCTCCTGGGCTGCAAAGGTGTCACCTTGAAAGCATCTGATATCCAGTCAACACTCTTTAATGGAATAAGACACTTGATCTGAATGTGTGACTCTGGGGATCTAGTAAATAGGAATTCGTCTTCGTTTTCTAACACACAGAACCCCATCAACAGTGTTGCCTATGCACATTGCCCATTTGCACCCGCAGATTATGTTTGTCTGAGGTGAATTCAATTCTCACCGAAGTTTGCGGTCAGTATTTTAACACCTGAATTGCTTTATCAGTCCAGGGTTATATCCCATCGAAGTCCACCATACAGTCTTATTAACTAATCTGTCTTGGGATACCAGCTTAGTGCTTGGATTTATTTCCTGATTACACTACATGGAAAAGTGGGACATCTGTCACCCCAACTCTGGGAAAAACCAACTAATATTACAACCATTTAAATGAAGGCCACCTTGACGGTCTTGACACTAATTTTTATGATGCAAATTTATAAACTGATTTTTTTTTGTAAAGGCTGAGGTTTTAAAAATGTATTTAACGTATGTTTTATATTAGCATAATTTACAATGGGTCACTAATAGATATTAAAAACAGCTGCCAGAGATAATCTGCGCGAAGAAAAACATCCTGCCCACGGCTGTTGTGTTCAGTCTAATTCGCTCAGAACGCTCGTGTTGAAGGTGCCTCAACCCTGAAGTGTAAGGAAGACCCTGAGCGGTGCACAGATTTCCAGTGAAGAACGGTCATGCAGTTTGCTGTAAGCGTCTTGGACTGGCTTTACAGGAGCTGTGTACTGGATTTTACTGAAGTGTCTGTCCAGCTTGGTATCCTGTGAAGGTTTGTTATATCCTGGGTAGACATTCTTATAGAGTACTGTCTTTAAAATCAGATCGTCTCTTCTATATTGAAAGCATTTTGATGTTTTCTAATTTAAAAATTAATATTTTCTTATAGCTATTGTGCAATAAAGCTGAAGTAGAAGGTGTGGTCTTTGCAAATGCTTTAACAGCCCACAAAATTTTACATTTGTAAAATTAATATATTGTACTGGTACAGAATAGTTTTAAATTATATTTTGAAAAACTCAGTGTGGTGGTGTGTTTTCTCTGTCTAACAGGCTGAGGTTAAAAGAACAGTGTGTGAGCGTGGACTGTGTCCTTAGTTCTTACCTCCTGAGCTTTCTCTGAAGATGTCTAGAATTGTTGCATCTGTGGGAAGTGTTTGGTTTTTTGAGACAGCGTCTTACCATGCAGCCCTGGCTGAATGGAACTTGATATACAGACTGTGCCTGCCTCTGCCTCCCAGTGCTGGGATTAGATGCCGTGTTCAGCACACACATCTTTGTGGGGAGTACCTTACATAACTTCAGATCTGTCAGGGGAACTGGGGAGAGGGGCACACATTACCAGGTGCGCTCCAGGCCCTGGATGTGTCCCCAGAAGTTCCAGGGAGGGAGGGAGGGAGGGAGGGAGGGAAGAATTGAGACAGGGAGGCATAGATGGTCACGTCCACCCACGTCCAACCTATGACAAGTATGCTATTAGGTTAATCCCTCCCAGATAAGGAATGAGGATGTAGAGGAGAGACGGATAGGATGGCCTCCTGCACACCTGGACTTTTCTACTCCGCTGTAGTAAAAAAATCTGTGTGTGTTTGTGTTCCCTGAGGGCACACATGTGTGCACGTTTGCAGAGGGTGGACAGGGCAAACAAGGGCAGAGAGTGAAACCAGTGCCTCTCTTTGAATCTTCCAGCTCTTGGCTGCACTTTTTAAGAAAATATATTTTTATTTTATTTATTCGTTTATTTATTTTTGGTCTTTTTGAGGCAGGGTCTCTCTGTAGCCCCAGCTGTCCTGGAACTCACTATGTTGTAGACCAGGGTGGCCTTGAATTCACAGAGATCTGCCTGCCTCTGCCTCCCAGTGCTGGGATTAAAGGCATGTGCCACCACACCCGGCTAAAAATATTTTTATTTTTAATTCATGTGTATGAGTGTACTGCCTGCATGCTGTAAGCGCACCCATGTCGTGCACTGCCCACTTAGGGCAGAAGACAGGGTCGGATCCCCTGAACTGGAGTTATGAATGGTTACCAGCTGCCATGTGGGTGCTGGGAATTGAGCCGGGTCCTCTGCAAGAGCAGCCAGTGCTCTTAAGTGTTGAACATCTCTCTAGCCCCTGGCTGCACTTACTTTTTCCTCTTCTGTATAGATGCTATAAGAGTAAGTTCTCAGCTGGCCACCACAATTTTAGTGGGATTTTATTAGGGATGCAGAGGCAGGCAGATCTCTGAGTTCAAGGCCAGCCTGGTCTACATGGCGAGTTCCAGGCCAGCTGGGGCTACAGGGAGACCCTGTCTCAAAAAGACCGAAAAACAAACAAATGAACAACAAAAAAATTAGTTCTCATGAAGACTGGGCATTACCATGTCCAAATTCTGTAAAGAGATGAAAAGGGACTTGGGACATTTTTAAAAGATTTATTTTTATTGTGTGTGTGTGTGTGTGTGTGTGTGTGTGTGTGTGTGTGTGTGAATGCCATGTGTGCAGGTACCTAAAGAGGTCAGAAGAGGATGCTGAATCCTCGATCTGGAGTTACAGGTGATCGGGAGTAACCCAGCATGGGTTCTAGGAACTGAACTCCGGTCCTCTGGAAGAACAGCAAATGCATTTAACTGCTGAGCCATCTCTTCAGCCCTGAGTAAATTTAAAATAGAAAACTAAAGGGTGTGATGGTTAGTCTCTTGTTTTTAAGATTCATTCTTTTGTGTATTGGTGTTTTGTATGCATGTGTACTGTGTGTGCCCATGGAGGCCAGGAGGGCATCAGAACCCTTGGTACTGTAGTTATAGATGGTTGTGAACTGCCATGTGGGTTCTGGGAATCGAACCTGGGTCCTCTGCAAGAGTAGCAAGTGCTCTTAACTGCCGAACCATCTCTCCAGCCCCCTATGATGGTTGGTTCTTTTCTTTCTTTCTTTTTTTTGGGTCTTTTTTGAGACAGCATCTCTCTGTAGCCCCAGCTGTCCACTATGCAGACCAGGGTGGCCTTGAACTCACAGAGATACGCCTGCCTTTGCCTCCCATGTGCTGGGATTGAAGGCCTGTGCCACCACACCCGGCTGGTTGGTACTTTTCTTAAATTTTTTATTTACTATTATTACTTTTGAGGATGGTTAGTTTTTAAATGTCAACTTGCCACCACCTAGAATCATCTGAGAAGAGGGCCTCAGTTGAGGAATCATCTAGATCAGGATGGTCTGTGTGCCTATCTGAGGGAGATGGTCTTGATTGCTGGTTGATGCAGAAAGACCCAGCCCAGTGTGGGTGGCACCGTTCCATGGCTGAGCTCCGGACTGTATGGGAGGACTAGCTGAGTGCTGACGCAGGTACACTCCTTTCTCCTCTCTTGATTGAGACCGAGTTCCTGCCTTGGCTTCCCTCAGTGATGGACTGTGACCTGGAATTGGAACCCTTCCTTTCTAAGTTGCTTTTGGGCAGGGTATTCTACATTACAGAAAGGAAACTTGAACAAAGGACAAGTGAAGGTTTCCAGGTATACTTTTGCAGGAAAAGTCTATAAGCAAACAAAAAGATGCTTAAAGGAATTAAGACAGCAACCACAAACACTGTTTCCTCTAATGCAATTGTAGAACGTGGTCCTCTAAGCAAAACTGCCACTGTCTTTATCAGATCAGCTGTGCCTGCTTGTACATCCATCACTGTGGACCGGGAGGGAGATAGGGAGGGCCATAGGACTGTCACTTGATAATCCAGCCACTCTGACTCAATTTGTATGCTTCCTCTGCACAGCCATGTTGGGTGCAGATCTTCTAGCTGCTTTAGGACCACTTGCATTCCTGCCCCTCAACCCCTCACCCATGCTCTGTAAGGAAGCCTAGTAGTCACCCCCCCTGCAGCTCTCTGGGACAGAGTTAAGGAGCAGTCTGTTGTGACTTGATGGCTCTGTTGATGGTACCTGGCGCCTCTATGCTGTGTGGTGCTATCTTGACCTAAATCACATGATGTGAAACTTCCTACCACCCTTAAAAGGTTATGAAACAGCAGATTTTTCTTTCATTCTGGGGATTCTTGAGGAGACTCCTCAGGAGGATGCTCTTTGAAGAGGTCCCTCTGCCCTCCCCCTGCCATCCCTCTCATGGTGGCTCTCTCTCTCTCCCCCTCCCCGCTTCCTATCTTTTGCTCTTAAAATTTTTTGATTTAATTTTTAAAATTTTAGTATTTTTATGAGTGTATTGCCTGCATGTATCTATGTGCACCTGTGTCCTGCAGTGCCCACGGAGGTCAGTCGGATCCCCTGGAACTGGAGTTAGATGGTTGTTGGCTGCCATGTAGGTGCTGGGAACTGAACCCAGGTCCTGTGCAAGAGCAGCCCGTGCTCGGAACTGCGGAGCTGTTTCTCCAGCTTCTCATTCTCTTAATGAAGCTCTCCAGACTCTAAAGGGATGCCTCTCCTTACTGCTAAATCACTATCAGGCTTAGTCTCCATGTTGTGTTGTTTCTGTCTAACGATCCCCTCCCACTTCCAGGCCGTCATGGCCCCAAGGCCCTCTTGTTCCAATAAGCCTTGTTCCTGAGGGCACTGGAGCCAGTGTCAGCCTCCTTTCCTTGTGGACTTTGTTGCTGCTGCTCTGGTTTTACCATGATGACACTGATGAAATCACTACTTGGTTATTGGGGCCTTGTGAAGAGAAGCACACATTTTGGCAGGGCCAGAAATTGACATGCATGAGGTACAGTATCCCCTCCCGCTCTCTCCCTCCCCTCGCTCCTTCCCTCATGTGGGTGTGTGAAAATTTTGATGAGCTGGACTGAGGTTACCAGTTTTGGGTCTCTTTGAGACAAGGTCTCCCTGTAGCCTCAACTGTCCTGGAACTCTCAGAGACCTGCCTGCCTCTGCCTCCCAAGAGCTAGGATTAAAGGAAAGTGCCACCACACCTGGCTTAGATTTGGTTTTTAAAAACAAATCTTGGAAACTTGTGCCCAGCTAAGGACTGTCTCCAGTGATGCCCACGTTCTGCCTGTAAGTTCCTTGGTCCTCTGACCCTCAAGTTTATGGATGAAACTGTTTAAGAAATTATTTATTAATTATTTTGGTCTTTTTGAGACAGGGTCTCCCTGTAGCCCCAGCTGTCCTGGAACTATGTAGACCAGGCTGGCCTTGAACTCACAGAGATCCACTTGCCTCTGCCTCCCAAGTGCTGGAATTAAAGGCGGGCGCCACCACACCCAGCCAAGAATTATTTTAATTATCTTTTTTAATGTGTATGCATGTATTGCCTGCATGTGAGTTCTTCTGTGTCATGCGATGCCCACAGAGGCCAGAAGAGGCTGTCAGGTCCCCTGGAACTGGGATTATGGACATTTGTTAGCTGCCACGTCGGTGCTGGGATTCAAACCCAAGGGTTCTGCAGGAGCAGCCCGTGTTCCTCACCGCCAAGCCGTCTCTCCAGCCCGTTTTAACAGTTTCTGCTGCCAGTCTCTTGCCTTCTGCATCTGACAAATGGTCATTGATTCTCATCCTAAAAATGGCTGGTTCCAGGGGATCCTACGCCCTCTTCTGTTCTACGTGGGCATTGTATGACACAGGTGCACTTACACACATGCAGGCAATATAGACATAAAAAATTTTAAAATGGCTAGCAGAATTTTCCCTTTTATGTGAACAAATGAACACAACAAAGTTGTGTTCTAGGTTGGAATCAACTGCTTACACAGAACATACCCTCCTTCATTTCTACTGCTTGTGACCAAGTTCTAATGAAATCTTATCCAACACAGTGCTATTAAATAACAGTGCCAGAACTGTGCCTACCTCCAACACACGCGAACACACTTGCACACATGCAAACACATCTATCCACAACTCAACATCTCACATCAATTTTTAGAAATCGAGGAACAACATGCAACAGGCCTTAGGTATTTGCTTTGCTCATTGTCTGTGTAGTGGGGGTGGGCATGCGAGTGCCATGGTGTGCGGAAGTCGGAGGACAACCTGAGGGAGTCAGTTCCACCATGTGGGTCCTGGGGATTGAACTCAGGTCGTCAGGCTTAGCAGCAAACACCATTATCCTCTGAGCCATCTTGCCAGCCCATGAAACTTTTTGATACTAGTTTGTGTGCACTGTCACCTATGTCTATCTTTTACACGTGTATACATTTATAAATTACATGGCCCTCAGCTCCATGCTATCTTTACTTTTAATGTGGTTGCTGGGTATTGACCCAGAGTCCCCCACAGGCTGATTTTACACTTCTGGAAGATAACTTCTGATTGATGAAAATTACTGAGCACAACAGGGAAGGCTGAAGTTCTGGTGCCAGATACAACTTACAAGATGCCAAGATCCACCGTGTGTGGTAAAAGCCCACTTAACAAGCACCCCTCCAAGTCAGAGGTCTCAATAGTTGCTTCGAACGCAAAGCTGAACACTTTAGTTCCCTCCATTTTGCTTCGTACCTCACCCACCTCCTTGTAGAGCCCTACTCTTTAAGACCCTTTATGCTGCAATAAACCAGGACAGTTAAATGCCAGCTTTTAAGAATAAAGGTTCCTTATTGGAGGAGCAGTGTAACATGAGGGAGTTCGTGGGGAGGAGCTTGATGTGAGGCCGGCTGGACACCAGGAGCCGTTCTGCTGAAGAGCCCGGCCTTCGGCAGCAGGCCCAGGGAAGACAGAACACACACGCAGCCCTAACCTAATGAAAAAGCGGTATTAAGTCTGGTTTATTTATATAATATTGTACAACAAAGAAAACCATCTACCAACATGGGAAAATCTCACTCTTAAAAGCCAGCTGTAAAATGGTATGTACAACATATACAATACAGTGCATGTAAAAATGTTAAAACACACAACTTGGCAGTCTGGATACACATACACCAAGAATATGAAGACACAAGCCTGACAGCAATTTTGGCACAATAGCTGACTCTAGCATGCAAGAGTGGGGTTGAGGCAACACCAGGACACAGTGCCACGAAGGAGGGTCAGTGGTTCACAGCAGCAAGTGGAAAGCACATACTTTCTGGCCTTTCCAGACCACGAAGCAAAGGTTGGTCTCACTGCTCAGTCTCTACAGTGCTGGATTGTAAACTGCATCATCACACTGGGTTGTGGTGAACTCCGTAGAAAGGGCTCTGTAGGCCAAGAGGCAAAACTGATTGTAAATATTTTTCAACTTTTAAAAATATTTAAGAACCAAACTTAGCTCGCAGGCAGTGTGGACTGGCCTATAGGTCAGTTTGCCCAATGTGGCCCAGGGCAGCCTTGGCTAACAACGGTGGACATCATCTACCTCGGGGCAGTCTGGACTGTGGTAGTTATAGCCACAAGTGGCCACTGATGCCGAGAAACTGGACTTTTAATTGCATTCAATTTTGTTAAGATGGTCACTCTATTACCGTGAAACTAAAGAACAGTTCCACAGAGTGGCTGAGGACTGGAGGCCATGCTCGTCTCAGATAGGGCTCTGGGCTTCATCCCCAGTGCGGTGACTCAGCAGACAGGGAAACATTCTGAGTGTGACTGGAAACATTGTGGGAGGATGTGGAGATGTTGGTAAATGTGAGATCAAGACTCAAAGAGTCTTCTAAAAGAATTTCCTTTTTTGCAGTGCTGGGGACTTACCCCTGGGCCTTGCACATGCGAGGAAGGTGCTCTACCACTGAACCCCAAATCAGGATGTCTAGGCCTTGGGCCTGGAGGCTACCCAGTGGAAAACTGAACAGGATGGATGCTAGTGTGTGGGTGTGGGTGTCTTGGCAGGGAACACAGAGTAAACGTCTGAGGATGGAGGAGGGGGGGCCAGAGGACAAGCAGGTTCTCTGAGTTAAGAGCAGGAGGACAACACGAGCCGCAGTTAGAAGTTCTACTGTTCTCTAAAATGGCCACAGATTCCGAAGTTGAAAGAGGTGTCTAGTAGCAGACTCAAGCTCTCCACTGTCTGTTTACCTCATTGGCAGTTGAAAAGCAAAGGGTCTTACTGTTTATTCACAAACCACCCATACTCTAGTCATGATTCCATAGAGATTTTATCTTATACAACAGGAGCACAAGGGATCCAAGCATCATGGTCTGTCTCGCTGTGAATGTCAAGGACTTAGAAAAGACCTGCACCCTGTCTCTGAAAGTTCTCCACTCTGGGACCCCCCACTGAAGGGGAAAATAAAGAGGCCAGAGAATTTTGGCACCAAGTGGAACCCGGAATAAAATAAATGTGTTTAGGCTGAAGAAACCCAATTATAAAGCAATATTCACGATCTAGCATCTTGTCAAGGACCTTCTACGGCAACAATTCTGCGTGCTTGCCCACCGTCTCAGACCCCATCAGGCACAAGAGAGGGCGCAGGATCAACTCCAACACCCATAAGAAGGTTACTGTGTTTGCTTCATGCTTTTTTTGGAACGTCTCAAGTCCTTTTTCTGCTTGAAGATAGGAGAGTTCAAGAAGCACAGGTCCGTGAAAGGGTCCCCTCGCCTCAGTTTCCTGCAAAGTGAAGGGAGACCTTGGCCCAGTCACTCACTCCTTGGCACACGCTGCTCAGTACACCAGTGTTGGTGCCCCACTGTCTTTTTGAGGCAGGGTCTCCCTGTAGCCCCAGCTGGCCTGGAACTCGCAATGTAGACCAGGTTGGCCTGGGTCTCTCAGAGATCCTGCCTCCACCTCCCCAGAGTTGGATTAAGGATGTGTACCACTTCGCCTGGCTACGATTCATTCTTGAATAAAGCTCGATGTCCCCCCGCCCCCGTCACCCCAAGCCACATCAAATCACACACTTACGAAGCGAGCGTCGGCTCTTTGTAGCTCACCACAGTGGTGCACCGACGCTTCGGCAGAGACGCTGCAAGCTCTCCATCTGTTCTTGGAGAAAGAGAATGCTTTCTGACTTTCACCGCAGGATGCAATGGGATATTGGTGACATCTTTCAGGCTAAGACGAGGTGACTTGCGAGCCTCAGGCGCTGGACCTGTGAAACAGGGGTCACTGAACATGGTTCCAAGGGAAAAAACCCACAGTAGAATTGTTCCTAGTCATAGTGTAGTTTACAGGCCATTGGGTGCGTCATATACACATTTTTAAAGACCTTCCCTTTTGTCCCTCGTCTTTCCAGATAATCATGCTGCAACTTACCATGGAAGAACTGAAGGACCCAAAAAACGTCTTTCTAAAGCTTAGCACTTTCTCAGCTCTTAGTGAGTTGTTTTAAAGTATGAAATTCCATTTTAGTCTCTTCTGTCTCTTTCAATACCAAAGTTTATGGTCAGTGGGCTTCCAAAGTGTTATAAAGTCACCACACTCATCCTAGCAAATATGTGAGAATTCTTAATCACAGTCTGTGAGACCCAAGACAGACCATGCTCCCGCAGTAAAGCTCATCCCTCAGAAAGTTCTCAATGTTCTTCCCACTGTAAACATCCAGGTTCCTATGCCTCAGAGCTGCCTTGACACTGGGAGGCAGTCTTCTCCAAAGCTTTAAAAAGCAAATCCCAAGGGGCTGCAGAGAGGGCTCAGTGGTTAAGGGCACTGGCTGCTCTTGCTTTTTTTTTTTTAAATGCAAATCCAAAGAGAAAGTAAATTCTAACTGCAGGGACGTTCCCTGGAGCAGCCATGCACTACAGGGTACGGGTTTCCGCCTACACTTCCGTCACCCACCATAAACACACTTGGCTAATTTAATTATTCCAGTTTTCACTTTGAAAGCTATCCAAGCAGCAGCATTACATCAGTTGCTGTGTTCTAGAATGCTTCCTCCACTTTAGTGTTTGTAAATCACAGGGGAGCCTGGCAGAGGCTCACACATCAGAGGCTCACGTTCTAGCTCAAGGGCCAGTACAGAAGACGTGATTATGGCTTTTAAAAATATTATCTAGTAATACTGAAGTGTTTTCTTCTTTTCAAAAACCTGTTTTAGAAGAACACAATGGTCACAGCTCGATGAATCCCATCACTTCAGTAATTACCAACACTTTTGCCAATCTTGTGTGAGTTATTCTATTGTAAAAGCATTTTTTAAAAGAAAAAACAAGTCTACTGTGGAAAAATGAGAAAGAACTCTGGAGAGGGGAGGGCTCCAGGGGAGGAGGCGCTAGGACACACTCTAAAAATGGCCCCTCAAAGCTATACGGCCCAACTGGCTGCCTAGGAAATCTGGCTCGGCTCAGGCTGCCTGGGCTGAGGGAGGCTGTTCTGACAAGCTACAACCAACAACGACCCACTTCTGATAACCCTGAGCCCAGCTTTCAATGTCCTACAGGAGGAACCAGGCCCAGCAACTGAGAAGTTTCCTGATCTTACACGCTCACGTTCATTAACTAGGAAAATGTGACGTCACGGCTCCTATCAAATTAAATACATAGCAAAGCCATTAAAAGAAGTGTGTGCTCCTTTGGGGGAGTCCTGGGCAGCTCCGCACGCCGGCACCCCTGACCGGGAGGGGTCCCCTAGAAGACCGTCTCCAGGAGGAGTGCTCGCTTTGTGGGATCTGCAGTTGCTTGAAGCAGGCCAGAGCCACAGCACTGCGATGTCCGGGCTCTGGCCACCGTTTGGTCAGACCAAGTGCCCAGAGGACGGCAGCTTCCGGCCTCTGCACGGAGGGCACTGTGGGTGTGGCGGGTCGGCCGGTGGTGCCCGGCCCAGCTATGAGAAGGACGTAGGCGCACAGGACTTGCTTACTGGTACTTGTGGCCGGTGGGGCCAGGGCCGCCGCCACCTCGTCCTCCTCGACTTCCTCATCCTCCTCGTGTGCGTGGGTTCTTCTCGAGGACCGGGGTCTGGTGACCCGCCTGTCTGCCGCACTGGCCAGGTCTGGGGAGCACTTGCCCGGGGGCAGGTAGAGCTCGTCAGACTCATCCCCAGAACTGGAGTCACAGCTGCTGGGTGCACCCCTGCTGCTCTCTCCATCCTCGCTGCCCACTTTCTGGCTCACTTTCTGTCGGAAGGGGGTGAGGTGGACACTCTCTTCCAAGGTGAAGTTGTAGGCATCGCAGGACCCGGCGCCGTGCGGCCTGGGGACGCCGGGTGCTCGCTGGCCTCTGCGCTTGGAGGCCGCCGGTCCCCTGGAGGCCGCTGGTCCCCGGGGCCGAGCCCTCCTGCCCGCACGTCCCTGCCTGCCTGGCTGCGGTTTGGAACTCGGGTCTGCGAGGACTTCCTTAGTCTCAACCCTTCCCAGACGGGTCGGCCTGGGTGACTGGCCGCCTGGGTCGGTGCTCCACGGGCGCGCACTCGGGGCGACGCTCTCGAGGAGGAGGCTGACTGCAGGGTCTGCACACACAGCTCTTCCCACTTCAAAGGGCCGGCCCGCCCACCGAACCGCATCACCTTCGCCTGAAGCACCCAAATCAAAACCTTTCTTTAATTGGCGACGGAGAGAAACGGTACTCGGTAAGCCGTTACCACCAGACTTGGCTTCACCAGAGTCAAAACTCCCCAACGTGTCTGCAGGAACGGGAGGTGTTGGCTCTGAAAGTTTAAGAAACAAATGAAAAAAGTTTTATGTTTCAGAAATTTGCATTCCAAGAATCTTAGAACTGAAGGTTGTAGAGAGACATTCGGTAGCTCCCGCATCTACTGTAGTAAACAAATTCCAAGAATCTTAGAACTGAAGGTTGTAGAGAGACATTCGGTAGCTCCCGGCATCTACTGTAGTAAACAATCTAAGTATCACCATCTGTTTAATGTCACTGAGCACCTGACAGCATTATCAGCTTAAAGATACAACAGGATGAAAACCCACACACCTGGTGATTCAGTGATCCCAGCATTCCACAGGCTGATGCAGGAGGGTATCACCTCAGGTCCACCCTGGGGTACATGCCAGGGCTACATAGTAACACCCTGTCTCAAACACAAGCCCCTCCCCCACAGACAAATATAACTACGTATCATTAATGTGCCCTATTTCAAAGGATTAAAGAACAATTAATAGCATCCGTATAACCTGTGAACAGAATCACAGAAACAGCTTCAAATTCTTTTGTTTTTTTGAGACAGTGTCTCCCTGTGGTCCCAGCTGGGCTGGAACTCACTATGTAGACCAGAGTGACCTCAATCTCGCAGAGATCGACCTGCCTCGGATTAAAGGTGTGTGCCACCAAGCCTGGCTTAGAATTTCAAATTCTAAAGTGGGACAAATATACTAAGAAAGTAGAAAAGCTGAGCTGTTCTTTGAAAAATGAGTAAGATTTGAACAGTTGATAATTACAAGACCTTTCAGATACATATAATCTGTATTACAGGAAAAGTATGTTCACCTACTTTTGCATATTCGAACTACCCATTATTTGAAGCTTAGTGCAAAGGGGAGGGCAGGTGTTTTGAGAACTGGGCACCGCACTGGAAGGTGGCCAGAGGGTGTGGCTCAGCAGCCAGGCCGAGTGTCCACACCAACTCGCAGCCTCTGGGCGAGTGCTGCTGAGCAGCTTTACTTCTCTGGGCTATGGAAAATGGGTTGGCTACCACAGCGAGTGTGAAACGCCCAACACGGAGCTCAGCATGCAGCAGCAGACCCTGTGCCACAGCAGAGCCAACTGTCTCATTATGGATTTGGCACAATGGACAGATGCTGTGTTGCTGTTGTTTTTCCAGGCCAGAGTCTTGATATGTAGCTCACATTGGCCTTGAACTCTTGGTCCTGCTGCCTGGACTATAGGTATAGGCCACTGGTCATTAGTGGATGGATGTATTTTGACCCTGTATCAGTCTATGTAAAATAAACCAAGCTGCTCTAAGCAGACTTGCCAGATCAGAGGACGGAAAGGTTAGAAAAATGTAACTATGCTACTTGTTCACAAAGATCAACAGTTTTAGATTTTTTTGTACTTGACTTACCTTCTGTTTGGAATGGCCAGTTAGTTTCCTGAAGAGGAATTTGCCTTAGAGGATAACAGTGAAAAACAGAGATTTAGTAGTCATGTAAAAAGAAAGCACCCGATTTAACATTTGCCAAGGTTCTAAGCTTGCTCTCCTCCGCGACGCTTCTCAGCGCCCTTCCACATCTATGCATCTGCTCTGCCCTCCCAGATCAATGCATGTGTTCTATCATAGGAAATCAAAAGCCATTTATGCTGATTACATGAGGCCTCAGTTGAGTTCCGCAGGAAACGTGTCCTAGGAAAGCCATCATAGCTCAGTTTCACCTAACCAGAAGAGCAGTAAATCCAACTGACTCAGGCTTCTACACTGCAGCTTGGCCACTATACTTTATCACTAGCAGAGCTGTCTTTGCTGGTAATGAATGTTTTAATGCTGTCAACTACAGAATTCTTCAGAAACTGTTTAGCAATCTTTTCTTTGTTTAAAAACTTCATTCTGAGCCAGGTGTGGTGGTGCACGCCTTTAATCCCAGCACTCGGGAGGCAGCCTGGTCTACATAGTGAGTTCTAGGACAGCTGGGGCTACAGGGGGGAAAACGCTTCAAAAAAAAAAAAAAAAAAAAAAAAAAAAAAAAAAACCCCAAAAAAAACAACAAAAAAACTTCATTCTGTTTTGGTTCATGAACGTGATCTTTACACCCCAAACCTGTCACTGGCAGTTTTACTCTAATTGCAGTTTTATTCTTTGTAGACAATTTTCCACTGCTACAAAAAATAAAAATACAGGTTTGGGTAACAGAGTAGTGGGACCTAATAATTACTTTCAAAATCTTATAAAACCTGATTACCTCATCTCACCTCACTTGTCAGATCTTAAATACAATGTTTTTTTTTGGTCTTTTTGAGACAGGGTCTCCCTGTAGCCCCAGCTGACCTAGAACTCACTATGTAGACCAGGCTGGCCTTGAACTCATGCATCACTAATAGTTTTAAAGCTACTAAAGCTGGCCAGCTGTGGTGGCACACGCCTTTAGTCCCAGCACTGGGGAGGCAGAGGCAGGAGGATTTCTGTGAGTTCAAGGCCAGCCTGGTTTACTTAGTAAGTTTCAGGCCAGTGTCTCAAAAAGACAAACCCCCCCAAAACGAAAAAAAAACCCCCAAAACCCAAAATCCAAACAACAAAACAACCAAAAAACTAAAAAGACTACTAAAGCTTGAAGTAATCAAGGGGGTAGAATCTGTGAGAAGCAGACAGCAGCCATGGTCAGTTGGCCCCTGGGGCTGTGCTCCAAGATCTAGAAGCATGTTGGCCCCTCAGCTGGGGGAGGCGCTGTTTCTGTGGCTGGGTGGCAGACCCGAAGAGGCCAAGTCTACAACACAGGGCACAGCCTCAGTGTTGGCACCCCTAAGGCTAAGACCCCGGGTGGGATGCCGGCCACTCTGTCATCTTCCATCTTTCATTGTTTTCAGACATGAATCTGTCACATCTCCAAGGCTGCTGAACTGACTTCCCTCCTGCCTCAGCCTCCCAAGGGCTGGGATTACAGACTGGGTGTGATGTTCCATATTTTATTTTATTTTTAAAATATTTTTATTTTTATTTTATGTGTATGCATGTATTGCCTGCATGTAGGTAAGTGCACCCGTGTCGTGCAATACCCGCGGAGGACAGAAGAGGCTGTTGGATCCCCTGGAGTTACTGACAGTTGTTAGCTGCCATGTGTGTGTGCTGGGAACTGAACCCAGGTCCTCTGGAAGAGCAGCCAGAGCTCTTAGCTGCTGAGTCATCTCTCTAGCCTCTAATTAATTCTTTTTTAAAGGAAAAAGAATGCGGTAGGCTATGGAACCAAGGTTCAGTAGAGGATTTGGAGGGAAGGAGGAATTGCACTGGGCCTGAAAAAAAGGCAGAACTTTGAGAATGGAAAGGCCATTCTTAACAGGGGCACGAAGTGTCCTAGGATCAAGGAAGAAGTGAACAGGTATCCCTGGCAGAGACAAGGTCTCTCATCTCTCACTGCTGAGATAGCCCATTGAGCTTTCAGATTCTTCTGCCTCTGTCTCCCATCTTCTTGTAGGGCCACAGGGATTGCAGACATGTGTGATACTGCATCTGACTTTTTTATGTAGATTCTGGGAATTCAAATTCAGGTCCAGACGAAGGAAAGAGACATTGCATGTGAAATTGGATGAGGTTAGAGGTCAGGGTGTGGAAACCCACCAGGCAGACAAATTCAACCTTGACTGTGTACAGTCACAGGAGTGTGTACAGCCACCACCTGGCTGTGGCGCACTGAGCAGGAGCAGTGAGGCTCACAGAGCAGTGTGCTATAGGGAGGTGCAGAGAGGCCAGAAGCACAGTAGCTTTCCTGTATCTGAGGAGGGAGTCAAATGTGCTCCCAATGCCCAGGCCCTGCTCCTGAGCTGGCAGCTTCCATGGTGTGACAGGGTCTTACCCTAATATGTAACAGGGTCTTACCCTAATATGTGACAGGGTCTTACCCTAATACGTGACAGGGGCTTACCCTAATATGTGACAGGGGCTTACCCTAATATGTGACAGGGTCTTACCCTAATATGTGACAGGGGCTTACCCTAATATGTGACAGGGGCTTACCCTAATATGTGACAGGGGCTTACCCTAATATGTGACAGGGGCTTACCCTAATATGTGACAGGGGCTTACCCTAATATGTGACAGGGGCTTACCCTAATATGTGACAGGGGCTTACCCTAATATGTGACAGGGGCTTACCCTAATATGTGACAGGGTCTTACCCTAATATGTGACAGGGTCTTACCCTAATACGTGACAGGGGCTTACCCTAATATGTGACAGGGGCTTACCCTAATATGTGACAGGGTCTTACCCTAATTTGTGACAGGGTCTAACCCTAATATGTAACAGGGTCTAACCCTAACTTTGCTGTATAGAGCAGATCTTAACATAGCAAATTTTAAGTCTATTCTCAGAACGAGCCTCAGTCTGTAAACACCAGGCAGAAGGATGAAACTTCTTTTTGCAAATGAATCACAGAAATCTTCCCAATATTAGCAGTCATAATAATGAACTTAGTACTAACGGTGATGAACTTGGTACTGAGGATGAGTCCTTCACAGATGAATCCCTTGTGTTGTCTTCACTAGCAGAGACCGCTCCCAAGGGACACACTTCCTGGTTCTGTTAGTTGATTAAAAGAGAACGCTGTTAACTGTGCACTGCTATACAAACATGTGCACACATGCAGTTGTGAGTACAGTGCTGAGTGAGCGAGCTGGACCAACGATACACACAAACCGACAGTCTACTGTGTTGCCACGTAGCTTTAGGAAGTAGGATTGTAACAGCTGAAAAACATCAAATTCTGTCCTCTTAAAGCTCACGTTCTATGTATGGAAAGAAAACAAAATTTTAAAAAGACCATCACTTGGCATCACAAGCCTGACAACTTGAGTTGGATCCTTGGAACTTACCCTGGAGAGAAGCAACACTCTCTCTCTCTCTCTCTCTCTCTCTCTTGTTCTCCCTCTGACACGCTAACAATAATACATGAAAGAAAATAAAAGCTGCATGTCTGATTTTCGGTGGTGGGTGGTGAGGCCACAGCAGACTGAAGTGAGCGGTTGAGATTAGACGGCAGCTCTGACCCAAAAGCTCAGAAAGAGCAGGAAGAAGAAAAAGCGCTGGACACGGCGAGTAAAGACACACGATGCAAGAAAGGGCCTGGCTGCTTTAAGCAAACAGGACTGTGGCTGGAACACAGTGACGGAGAACAGCAGGAGACGGATGGCAGTGGCCAGCTGGTGAGGAGCCGTGGGAGTAAGTCTAAGTGTGATGGGGACGCAGATGCTACGCAAGGCAGCAAAACCACCACCTTTATAAAGACGAGTCTGGCCACGCAGAGCGTGGATGAAAGGGGCCCAGAGTGTCAGCGTTATGAAGTCATCACAGCAAATCAAGACATGATACCAACCATAATCATGGCTCTGAGGTGCACCCCACTGGAAGGCCTGATTAATGCATGGGCAACCCAAGGGGCCTCTGGCACATACAGAGTTAAGCACCCCATTTCTGCCAGGGTTCCTGAATTCTCCCCATTCTGCAGATGAGAAAACTGGGGAGCATCTAGCAACCATGTGCAAGGTGGGGATGGAGGTGACAGCACTGAGGGAGTCTGGCCCAGCTGAAGGAGGAGGCTGCTTTACGGAGATGCGTAAGACCTGAAGAGGATGCGCCAGGCGTGGTGGGGCATGAGTCTCTGTTACTCTGTCAGGATCATCATGCAACAAGACACACCAACACCCTAAAGCAAGCTTTGTCCATGTCTGCCATGCTCTGGCTGGCAGGACAACCTGGGCCTTCTGTTTAACCTTGGACACAGAATCAGACAGTTGGTGATGTTCAGGACATTTCTTGTATGGGAGTTAGCATACAGCCCTTCCCATTTAGTGAACCAGTGGGTTAAAGGTGATTCTTGGCCTGGTGAGAGGGGCAGTGTTTAAGTTAAAACCTAAAATAGCACTAGTTCAAACATCTGGGCCGGTGGGCCCCAGCGGCCACTTTCAGGACATTGGCTTCACTGCTCCAACCTTGACTCGCTCCCATGAACACTCAGAGGACCAGCAGTGCAAGGAGCTCAATTCTTTTTTGATGGTTTTATTTATTTTAATGTATATGAGTGTATTGCCTACATGTATGTGAGTGCACCCATGTCGTGCAATGCTACAGAGGTCAGAAGAGGGCTTCGGATTTCCCTGGAACTGGCGTTAAAGCTGCCATGTGGGTGCTGGAAATCAAACCTGGGTCCTCTGCAAGAGCAATCAGTGCTCTTAACCGCTGAGCCATCTCTCCAGCCCCAATTTATTTTTATTTTATGTGTATGAACGTTTTGTTTGCATGTATGTAAGTGTATTCGCACATGCAATGCTCATGGAGGTCAGGAGAGAGGGCCGGACCCCTGGAACTATGTGTGCAATGCCCGAAGAGGCCAGAAGAAGGTGTTGGATCATCTGGAACTGGAATTAATGTTAGCCACCAGGTGGGTGCTGGGAACCAAACAAGGGTTCTCTGGAAGAGTGGCCAGTGCTCTTAGCCGCTCAGCTGTCTCTCCAGCGCAAGGCTGAACAAGTTCTTCTGCAACCTGTTTTCAGTACCGAGCTAGGCAGGTACCTGAAGCTTCCTAACTGGCCACACACAATAACTGGGATACAGCATGGAGAAGGATGCTTTAATCCATCCACCTATGGCAGAGGAGCCAGTAATTAAAGTGATCTAAACCAGGCATGGTGGCTTATGTCTGTAATCCCAACACTTGGGAGGTGAGAGGCAGGACGATCACTGCAAGTTCAACACCAGCCTGGTCTACTGGACAATCTCAAAAAACTGAACAACACAACCATGAACTTGATCTAAACCACAGGAAGGAGAGAGCTGACTCTAGGTGTCCTCTGGCCTCCACATGTGACCCGACATGCACTCACCTGTACTCTCTCACACATACAATAATAATAATAGAGTGCTTTTCTTCAAAGAAATTCAGTTTTTGTCTAATAAAAGTACCTGAAGAGTTCGCACTTCCTGGGACACCAGCTTCTCTTTCAGTGTGTACAGCTGGCATGCAAGGTAGTAACACTCCCTTCTCAGCTGGAGGATGACGTCCTGGGCTTCTCGCACTTTGGATTTTTCATTTTCCAAAGCTAAAACTAACAGTCTATTATTGTCTTGGTAATTTTTTAGCAGTGTAGAAGTGTTAGCTGTAAGATAAAAGAAAATTTTCTCATTAAATCTAGACTTAGAAGGTGCTATAAGGGCTGGGGAGATGGCTCAATTCCTAAAAGAGATGCTAAGCAAACCTGAGGACCTGAGTTCAAATTCAGGTACAGGGGCTGAAGAGATGGCTCAGCGGTTAAGAGCACTGCCTGTTCTCGCAGAGGACTGAGGTCTGATTCTCAGGACCCACATGGCAGCTAACAACCATCTGAAACTCCCCAAGGGATCTAACACCCTCTTCTGGCCTCTGTACACACACAGGTGCACTTATGTACATGTAGGCGTAAACATATAAACTAAATTTTAAAAATGAAAACAAAAAGCCAGGCATGGGTGTGCACACCTATGTGGGCTGCCACCCTGGCTCAGGTCCAGTAGGAGATCCTACTGCAAGACACACACACAGAACCCGTATACATGCGTGGAGGAACCATGGCACAAAAAAAAGAGAAACAGGCGGCATCAAAGACAAGACAGACCTCTTACCGGTTACCTGGCACGGTGCAACCATAAAGGACTTGCGCTTGCCGACTTCTGCCAAAGTTTTGTTCCTTTTTTCTTTCATCCGCTTCTTTATGTCTTCAAGACTATCCTGAAAGGACTTCTTCTGACATCTTTCCTTTGCCATCTTTTCTCTATGAATTTGAAGTAAAGCATAACATTTATCAGATATTTCCAAATACAAAATTCAAGACTGCAATACAGGTTATTCAAAGAGATTGTACAGACTTAATAGTAAACCAACTTCAGAGCAGGTAGCAGACTAACCTGGTAATAATTTAGATTTTACAGCTTTAAAATATTATTAACAATCAGGAGCTGTGGCACATACCTAGAATCCCAGATACTAAGGAGGCTGAGGCAGGGGATCACGAGTTCAAGATCAGCCTGGGCTAGATAGCAAGACTCTGTCAAAAACAAATAAAAACAGAGGTTAGAATCATGTGTATCGTACAAGAAAAATCCTATAAATGGCATTCATATATCTGACACGATTTTTTCTTCTGTCACTTTATAGGAAAGCTTTTTTGAATGTTGATTTCCAACCTAAAGCTTCCAGAGTAGTCAAGTACTTCCCGGGGAGGTACTACCTTCTAGGCATTATGGGAAATACTTGCTGTTGTTATTTTGAGATTGGATCTTGGTACATTACCCAGGCTGGTCTTGAACTTAAGGGCTGTGATGTTTATCTGTCTCACCCTCCTGAAAACTGGGACCACAGGCGTGAGTCACACACTTGGCTTATGATCACACTGTAGTGCATTACGACATCTGTTTCTTACAGTGTTTATGGCCAATTTTAATGCTGAGACTTACAGCGCTAGTGCAGACACAATCACGTAGATATCTGGGCTTTTGCTTTGCACGTTCTCTAATTACTAATGTATTAGATTAGGTCACTCAGTCCCTTGCCTTTCCGGTCCACAATGTTGGCCCACTACCCCTTAAGACAGGCACACATACTCAACAAAGTCAAGTCGATTTTCACAGGTTGTAATGCTGGCACTATATATGATTTTAACACACATAACAGTTATGGAACTGGGACAGAGAAACATGCAAGTGTTTTTCATCTCTCAGTGCTGCAAAGTTAGCATGCTAATTTTCAGGAAGTTTGTATCCTAGACTGCAGCCTACAAATCTCAAAACTGCACTGTGGCAGCCCACCTGTGTGCATAGTTTTCACCACAAAGGATCATCTTCGTCTCCCCTTGGTTACTTAAACCTTTCATTCTCTGGACTATTTTCTCCAGGGCTTATTTTCCTCTGTAGTGTCTTGGGACTTAAATAGCTACTGTACGTCTCATTTAAATATTTGATTTCTACTAATGTATGTACAATACACTGGAGAGGGTTTCAATAGGAAAGTGGAACTTTTTTTTAAAAGCAGTAATGGTGGGCTGCAGAAGACAGCCCATCATCAAGGTTTAAAGTTTGCACTGGAAGTGTCTGGTAGTCATGCAGATTAAATAACCGAGGTGAGACTGGCTGTGGCTTTTGTGCACGTTGGGGGTTGAGCCCGAGGTCCTGTGCATACTAGGCAAGGGTGTATCAGGTGTCCATGCTAGGCCAGGATTCATCAGCGTAGGGGGGTGGGCCCGGGCCCTGTCCACGCTAGACTAGGACGCATCAGCGCGCGGGTGTGGGGGGCCTAGACCAGGACGCATCAGCGCGCTGGGGGTTGAGCCCCGGCCCAGTCCACTATAGACCAAGACGCATCAGAGCGCTGGGTGTGGGCCCGGGGTCCTGTGCATGCCAGGCAAGGCTGCATCATCAGCTAGCGCAGCCCGGGTCCGTTTGGACACTTCGGAGCAGAGCTTCGAACGGGCGCAGGGCGCGCTGGGTCCGCAGGACCCAGGTCAGGCCAGGCCTGGCCGCCGTCCCCGCCCCGCAGCAGCCCCGGCCCGGCCCTCGAGGCCGCCCACCCCGCGCGGTACCTCGGCCGCCGCCGCCGTTCACATCCCCGAGCCCGCTCCGACTTCCGCCCCGCCGCGCCTCCGAAACGAGTGTCGCCACATTCGAAATCCTCCGCCACGCTCGCCCATTGGTCGGCGGGAGGCGGCACGTGACGCGAGGACGCGCTCTCCCTGGGCGACGCAGCGCCCCGCCTTCCGTGGAGCCGCGCGGGGGCGGGGTCAGCCCTGGCGCTGAGGTGCGAGGGAGCCGGGAACTTCCAGTGCCTAGGCCGGGCGTGGGGACGCGGGCTGGTCGCCGTGCTGGGGCGGGGGTGACGGGTTCGAGGCTGGCCTAGGCTGCCGCTGACCGACCGGAACCCCGCCCGGCCCTTCCCGCGCTCGGGTCTGGGGCGCCCTCTTGTGTCGCTCAGTGCCACTTTCGAGAAGGTAAAACCGGAATAGGAGCTGGAGAGACTGCCCAGAGGTTAGAGCATCTGCTCGCCAGCGGACCCGGGTTCGAGTCCCCGCACCCACATCGCAAGCACCCGTAACTCCAGTTCCAGGGGATCCGGCGCCCTCTTCTGTCCTCCGTGGGCACTGCCTGACACGGGTGCACTCACATACATGCAGGTAATACACTCATACACATAAAGGTAATAAAATATTTAAAAATAATAAAATCTTTAAAAAAAAGAAACCTGAACAGGGCCTAGGAATCCGCAGATATCTGAGAGATGCGCATGTTCTTGCTTTTGATTGGACTAGCCCTATCCAGCCTCAGGAAACAGCCGCCCCCGTCTGCAGGTGGTTTAGACAGCTTGGTTGTTCCTAAAGGATTACTGGGGCCATTTGCAGCTCATCCTCAGCACAGCCATGGGAAAGGGACATTCTACCCGTGTGTGTCAGCACTGACAGGCTCAGGATTCAGTTTCCTAGGGTTTAAGGAATGTTGACTCAGCTCCAGGATTCGTTCCTTGGAGTGTTTTGCTGGGAATAATTTGAACATCTTTATCAATTCCTGAGAAAGTTCAAAGCCAGGGCTTGGGTTCAGGCATGCTGGGAAAAGTGCAGCTGGCTGAGTGACAGTAACAGTACTGCGTGGCGATTGGTCAGGACACACAGGAAAAATGGAAGCGGGGGAAGCATGGCACAAGTGGACCCTACAACGAGGAATTGGAAGCCTGGAACCGTTGCCTGAGCTGCTTCCAAAGACTCATCCCTGGCAGACGTCAGTAGTGGAACAGAACCCTGGCTACGTCTGAAGAAAGCACCCGAGGCTGTCATTAGAATCGCTTTCTCATGTCAGCCCTCATTTCCCTACTTCCCTGGAAACGCAGTGCTGGTGTGCATGCAGAAGTAGCCCGTGTGCTGACTGCTCTGACTCTGGGAATCCATGCTCTTTTAAGGGGTTTATGTTGAGCCTTGCCAGTATCTAGCAGTCGGCAAACTCGAAAGTTCTGATGTCAGTTACCAGGATGTCACAGCTAATTAAAGTTGAACTTACTTGACCTAAGAAGCCTGGCACATGGTAGGTAATAAACAAATGACTGGGCTGAACAGAATGAACAGCGCTCATACTCCAAGTGTGGGAATGGACAGGGTGGAACCCATCACCCCCGCCCCAGTTTTACAGGTGCATGGCATCATGCCTGGCTTTTATTTTTACATGGGTGTTAGGCTCTGAACTCAGGTGCGATAGGCACTTTCCTGACAACCATCTCCCTTGTCCCCTATTTTTATAAATTAGTTCTTATTTCTATTTTTATGTGTATGAGTGTATTGCCTGCATGTGTGTAAGTGCACCCATGTCATGTATACAGTGCCCTTGGAGGTCAGAAGAAGGCATTGGATCCCCTGAAATTGGCGTTCAGATGTTTAACTGCCATGCGCGTGCTGGGAATCGAACCCAGTTCCTCTGCAAGAGCAGTCAGTGCTCTTAACTGCTGGGCCGTCTCTCCAGCCCTTGTCCCTTATTTTTATTTTAATTAATTAATTAATTAATTAATTTTTGATCTTTTTGAGACAGGGTCTCCCCATATCGCCAGCTGGTCTGGAGCTCTCTAGGTAGACCAGGCTGACCTTGAACTCACAGAGATCAAGGTGCCTCTGCCTCCCGAGTACTGGGACTAAAGGCATGCACCACCACGCTGGGCTCTTATTTTTATTTTTATTTTTAGAAAGCCATCTAGTAAATAACAATATCCAAGCAATGCACAATAAAATAAACGAGTTTCCTCCTTCATAGCTACTGTCGTGCATGGACCTTACATTCCCGTGGTGAAGATGGACAGTATCAGATAATGTGAGAAAATGTAAAACCGCAGGCACCACCATTGTGACTGCAAAGAGCCCGCTAAAGAGGTGACTGCCCCCAGCAGGGCAGTCAGAGGCGGTGTCTGCGAAGGAACCAGTGCGCTGAGGTTGACGGTAGGAAAAAGCATTATTTATTAACGTAGAGTGGGGCCCAACAGCCCTGTCACCTGACTTTCTGCAGTAATGCTTGGCTGATTGATTGCAGGCACAGGACAACAAAGTGCCCAGTTGATGCTGGCTGGGAAGGAAGGGCGGCGGGGACTTCAGGGCACTGGGAAGATTATTATTGAAACAATAGTTCATGAAATTTAAAGCGAGTAAGAAACAATGGGTGAGTGGTTCTGTTGATGGCTTGGGGGAAAACACCTGTTCGTAGACTTGACCTTCTGATGACATTGTCCATACAAAAACTACAGGGCTATCAGCGAGATGGCTCAGAACGGCCCATGCTGCCAAGCCAGCCAACTTGAGTTCACTCTCTGAGAGCCACATGATTGGAAGCGAGAATTGTCTCCTGAAAGTTGCTCTCTGACCTGCTGTGGCACATGCGCCTTCTCCCCAGTAAATAAAAAATTGTTAAAAAAGAAAGAGAAGCTATTGTTATAGAATCCTGGGTTGTTTGGAATAGATGATTTTGAGAAAGAAAGGAGCAGTTTCAGAAAGTGAGAAGTTCGGTCTCAGGGCAGGAGTGGGTGACTGGGCGTGAGAAGTGGTCAGGGAAGTTGGCAGTTCGCTAGGTGGGTGCCACGTGGAGAGTGAGGTTCCCAGCTCTCATGTCGCAGGGCTGCTGTGGGCCTGTTGACAGTTGGATG